TATGCTGATTTTTCGGGGGACAATTTTTATGATTAACCAATCAAATAATTTGATTATAAAATTTTTAGGGTGCATATTTAGGGCCCAATTACGCCGATCGGCGGATATGTAGGCCTTACATAAACAAATAAAAAGAATCTATAGATATCTTGTTAAGAGGCATTTGAACCAAAATAATTCGGAAGTATCGAGTATTGAACTAGATTCGGAAGTTAAAAATAAACAAAGATGACGAATAAAATATTTATTTGTGCAGATCTAAACTTCTAAGCTTTCCGCCACAACCCAGCCTTATAATATTCTTATGACCTGAGGTATACACATTCTCGTTGTTTCTCGTTACAAGTCACGATTTTTCTTAAGAAAATCGTGACAATGTTGAGTTTAGATATCCCAAATAAGCAACTACGTTGCGCACCTATTTTACGTATTTGGTTTTTATTGTTATAAATGGTTAAATGATATGTGCACAATAAACATTTAATGTTCTTGTATAGGAATGAGCTACGTAGCACAAAAAACGCCATGTAGTTTTTGCTAGAGAAAAAAGGACAGAATAAAAAAGTGGTTTAAAAGAGTGTTTGGCTGTTATTTGTATAGAAACGTTGGTTTTTAAGCTACAAAGGTGGTTTATAGCTTGTTTTCAAACTATTGATGAGCTTAATAATTTTTACTAAGTTTATATATTGCATCTCAAGAAATTTACTGTCGAGTTAAAAGAACCAAACAACATTTTTTTTGCTTTATATGTCTATATTATTTTGTGTAGCATTCGCTCAAATAAATTTACGATAGTAACTGCATTTAACAATCTAATTTTCATCTAAAGACTAATTTGCTATAAAATCACAACAAGGGATGGATTCTGAAAAATGGACAATTAAATTAAATGGGACAAAATCTCCTCTAGTTGGAAACACAAGAGGTAGTGAAATAGATGACCTTGATAAAATCGCTAACGAACTTGGCACTAGCAAATCAAATCTTCTGAACAATGATATAATAAAGGATATATGTGTGAAACAAATAAAAATCTGGTATGGGAATTTAATAGACGCAATTCAATTCTTTTACAAAATAACAACAAATGATAAAACTTATTCAATTGATGGTAATAAGAATGGGGGCACTGGCGGGAAGGAAACTATAATTAATCTTGAAGATGGAGAGTATATCGCAGCAATTTCTGGAAAATATGAAGGTAATATCGATGAATTAAATTTTATAACATATATACCTTCAAAGAAGCAAGTAAAACTCTTTACACATTGTGGTAAACATAATACTACATCATTCGATATGTCACCAGCAGCTGGTGCGGTTTATACCTGCTTTTTTGGAAAATACACAGACAAATCTGTAACTAGCATTGGAATGTATGAGGGAAAAATGCATTCAATTCTAGACCAGCGATTTCAACTTCAACAGCTTTCTGGCATATTATTCCCAAATAAACCTTATAATTTTCTTGTTCTCAAACAAGAAATCGCTCGTCTTAAATATCAGGATCTGGCACCACAAGTAAGAAACGAAAAAATCAAATTTGAGGAATTAACTACAAATATCAAGACCAAAGCCGGTCACCTAGAAAAAGTAATTGACTTGTTGTTAGAAACTCAAAAACAAGCTATCAAAAATAATGATCAATTAATCCAGGGTCAATTAATTGCTTACAAAAATATCCTTGAAGGTAGCTTAACTAAAGAGGAATTACAAATTCTCCTTGCTAAGCAAACGGAACTTTATCAGTTGGAAGATCAATTGGCTAATTTGCAAATTGACTTGCCATCAAAATCATAGTCTGTATAATATTTCAATTCATCAGAATATATGATTTATCACGGCGCATTTATAAACTACCCCAAAATTTGAAAATTTTGATCACTAATATGTAAATATAGATTAACTGAGATTATCAACGTTCCCCAAGTTATGATGCGTCAATTTAATAATTCCTATGTCCAATGAGATGCGTCGGGTTTGGAAGATGGGTTAGCCTGTGGGGAAGATGGATTAAACGCGTTATCGGTACAGATCAGATGATCAAAAAATTTTTCGGGTTTACCATTGATTGATTAATATATAATTTGGTAACTAAAATTTAATTTCGGGGACAAAATGCTTGGATTTGGTGACCAATTGTCTGCTTATTAAAAAGTTATTAAATTTCTTGATTTTTATAAAAATATATTGGAAATAATTACTACTACTACGTGTAACTCTGGTTATAATGACTTTCAAAAACACTAATAAAAAATTTCAAAGTTTTCGTTACATTAAGTCATACTAACATTTATATTAGAATTTTGAAAAAGATTGGTATAGAAAGATTTTGCTATAATATCGTTATAACCAGAGTAATTTGTAATCTCTGAGCTATAGATGCAAACATATTGTCGTATTACTGTATTAGTTATGATCTATTTTAAAAACCGGGTTGACAATTTTTTTATATTGAGGTAATTAAGTTACGACCTCATTGCGTCAAGATGTCTGCATCTCTCCTTTGAGCGCATCTTTGTATTTATGCAATTTAGATAGTTTATAACAAAAAGGATAACCTTATATAAAGTTACTTTTTTTCTAAAAGAATAAGAGATGATGTAGTGTCTAGTTTTTATTTATATGTTAACTAATCAAATTACAGAATTACCTTAAGAGAATTTTGTACAGATACTGTAGTATAGAAAACTGTATATAAGTGTATAGAAAAATAAGCAATGACTACCGTGTCTAGATCACTAAAAGCGTGATGATATAGAAAATTGGACATTTCATGCTAATGTTTTTAAGTATATTATAAAATTTTGATTTCTTGAAACTTAATTAAAGCAAAACTAAAGATAACTATGTGAATAATTAACCGCCCAAATTGCAAATTTGAATGTTCCTTTTTATTGTATTTTAAATCCAATTTTATTTTTAATTATTATATTTAGAATATTATTATTAGCACCCCGTAAGATCTGGCGCAACATGAAATTAAAACAAACTCACTAAGAGTATATAGTATACCAGTATAGTACAACTTGTTGAATAAGTATAGCATAGTGCGGTATACATTATGTATAGATGGGTGCCGGTCAAAACGACAAGCACAATCCCGACAGGTCATAATCCCGACAAAAAAATCCAGACAGTCAAAAATCCCGATAATTAAAAATCCCGACAATCAGAATTTTCGGGTAGAAAATCCCAAATATGGAGTATGTTTAAAGTGAAGTAGACTCTTATAATTTAATTAACTTTAAGGTTAGGTCACTTTAGATAAGGGTTAGGTTTGGGTTAGCTATGGTTTATGAATTTTTTTTTTTATCAAAATTTTTAATTGTCGGGATGTGGGAGTTTTGCTATCGGGATTTTTTTGTCGGAATTATGACCTGTCGGGATTTTGACCTAAACCCATAGTAGATATACAAAATATATAGATTTTAAGTTTAAATTATACAATATGTAATATTTGTTTATATATCATGAAGAAAGATCGAAGGGCAAAAGTTTAGAACAAAGATTTAACATATTGGAATAATTTTTAATGGAAAATCAAAATCCAGATAATATAATTAAATGGTGCTTAGAAAATCAAATCAATCCTATGGCCAAATAATTGGATATTGTTATCAAAATGGTAAATGGATTGAAAAGGATGAATGTAAGTATAGTTGGCGGTAGAATTAATTTTGCAAATTAATACGGTTACGGCACATGCCGTATTGTTTGCCGTAATTGCCGTGTGCCGCAGAGATGGTAAATGACCTTCAAATGACCTCAAATGACCCTAATTTTATTATGAATTTTAGTCCGAAATGACCTAGGTCATTTGAAAAAAGTAGTGATGGATCAGTCTTCGTAAAGACCGAGACTGGACTGTAAAGGACCGAGGACTGAATGATTTTTGATCCTCAGTCTTTAATGGTCCGGTCCCGGTCCAAACAATGGTCCTACGGTAGCTGATAAAAAAAATGATGAATTAAAATAATAATCATAAGTTAGTTGATAAAAAATGATAAATTAAAATAATGGTCATACGGCAATTAATAAAAAATGATGAATGATAAAAAAAATGATAAATTAATAAAAAGAAAATAACAAATTATTTTTTTTTATTCTTTTCAACAATGAGCGATAATCAAGAATCGTTACCTTT